CAAGTGCAACTAATGTGACATTTATTGTGGCAACGTTTCGCTCTCCAGGAGCTTTATCAAGCCATTACTGGCTTGATAAAGCTCCTGGAGAGCGAAACGTTGCCACAATAAATGTCACATTAGTTGCACTTGTGTCCTTTTACTTTAAAATACTTTTTCTACATCAGCTTTGGAGGAAAAGTATTTGAGGTGGTCAGTCCCTGCAGACAATGAAGCTGAACTCTTCTCCACTCTGAGGGACTAACCATCTCATACTTTTTCTCCAAGGTTGATGGACTGATTACGTTTATATTTCATTACTATTGCATCCTTTGTATTTGACTGAAGAAGCCTACTGTGTAGGCGAAGCGTTTCATCAACATAGATATCCAACTGTTGCATATATTTTTTAATCTTCAACTTGTCAGTATTTTATGCTAGATACTTATTGCTTCAGACTATGGAACAATGCTCTTCTCCAGACTGAGGGACTGACCACCTCAAAACTTTAAGGGTGATGGACTGATTACATCGTCTTCAAGTATCTTCTGCTTCTATCAACTTTTCTGTACTTGACTGAAGAAGCCTACTGTGTAGGCGAAACGTTTCATAATAAAGATACCTAACTGTTGTGCAAGAAAGGTATAAAATACCGACAATATGAAAGTTAAGACACATGTGCAACATCTGGATATCTTTATTGTAGACGTTTCGCCATCCAGTGGCTTTATCAATACAGATTCTAGGACATAATAGGAAGACAGTAGAACTATATACAAAAGATGAGGTAATCAGTCCCTCGACCTTGGAGTTAGTGTTCACAGCATCGTGGTGAAGGAGAATCTGGAGCAAAGGCAAGAAGACTGGCGGTTATATAGGCGTCAGTGGAAGGGACGGGCAGCAGACGAGGGCAGTCACTGGTAGGCGGGATTCCCCAGTGGAAGTAGGTCCTTCCCAAAGAGATGGGTTAGTTGCAGCAGCCGTGAAGAAGGTCTTGTAGATGTCCTCTGAACCAAGATTCCATGATGTTGCAGTGTCTGACAAGTTGTGCAAGAAACGTATAAAATACCGACTTTGCCCTCGTCTGCTGCCCGTCCCTATCCACTGACGACTATATAAACGCCAGTCTTCTTGCCTTTGCTTCAGATTCTCCTTCACCACGATGCTGTGAACACTAACTCCAAGGCCGAGGGACTGATTACCTCATCTTTTGTATATAGTTCTACTGTCTTCCTATTATGTCCTAGAATCTGTATTGATAAAGCCACTGGATGGCGAAACGTCTACAATAAAGATATCCAGATGTTGCACATGTGTCTTAACTTTCATACCTAACTGTTGCATATGTGTCTTACCTAACATGCTAGATACTTACCTGTACTCACTTACGAGACAGAAGTCGAGCGTAAGATGAAGTATCCATTTCATTACTCTGTATCCATTTCATTACTCTGGATTAGTGTTTTGGAATATAAGAACATAGGAACATAAGAACAAGGAACACTGCAACAGGCCTACTGACCCATGCGGAGCAGGTTCATGTCCCCCCTGGATTAGCCCAATGACCCTCCCAGTCTGGTCATCCCCACTCAAGGAAGGAGCAAGGCACCAGACCCAGCAGCACAAGCTAGTCAGGTCGAACTCACACCCGCCCACGCCCACTCACGTATTTATCTAACCTATTTTTAAAACTACACAACGTTTTAGCCTCAATAGCTGTACATGATACTTACCTGTACTCACTTATGAGACAGAAGTCTAGCGTAAGATGAAGTCACTTAAATAGCCTTTTATTACTCTGTATCCATTTCATTACTCTGGATTAGTGTTTTGTGATGAATGGTTTTGGAAACCGACAAGTTGAAGAATTGAGACACTTATGCAACACATGGGAATCTTTATTGAAGAAACGTTTCGCCACACAGTGGCTTCATCAGTCCTGCCTCCTCCTGCTTCAACTCATCTCACCGCAGTATATAAGCCACCTCTCTGGCCTTATCCTGCACTTACTACAAGAGTGATGGACTGAACACATCGAATCCAGGTTGAGGGACTGATTACCTCATACTTCTACTCTCCTTACCCATTTCTACTTTGTATTGGACTGATGAAGCCACTGTGTGGCGAAACGTTTCTTCAATAAAGATTCCCATGCGTTGCATAAGTGTCTCAATTCTTCATTAGTGTTTTGGAATATAGATGTTACTTACCTGAGGGATGGGTCAGCAAGGCAGTGCTGAGGACAGCGAGTCCCATCAACATCATCATCCGTGAATAATCTGCTATTACCATGTGGCTCATAAGGGTTATATACCACCGTCTGGCTCACTGGAACGAAGACCACCTGGTCCAATGAGGCAAAATCCTGTAGGGAAAAAGAGATGCGACTTAATGGATACAGTATGAGTGATCTGTTATGATGATAGACCTCTGAATCAGTAGGGGATATGTTGCGTCTAAGGAGAAGTCGGTAATTAGAAGCTAGCACAATTTCCGTGAATCAAAATTCTTTTACCGTCATCTAGGCACCTTTTTTTTGAAGGGATGAGGGATGAATTGAGCAGTGCAAAAATTAATAATGTAAAAATTAATAATTTTGTACCAAAAAACTCTTAGAAAACTTACCTAACCTTATTATAACAAGCGCAATATAATTTAGCCTAATCCAACTAAACATATTTTAGATAAGTTTACAATAATTTAATAATAAACACTATGAAATATATTTTTTTCCTTAGGTTCAGAATGATTTCTTGAGAAATTATTGCATACCACACCGACCGACGAGAAACTTTTTACAATGTTTAGAATTCGCAGGGAATGAGATGAAAAGCTGAAAGCCACCTGCCTGAATGCTGGCTGCCTTGGACCAAAGCATCTAGCGTTAGCTGGGCGCCAAGGTATTGGACAAGTGTGTTACGGTGGTAGAGCACTGCGTACCTTGCTCCAAGGTGCGTAGGTTCGAGTCTCCTTCGGCCTGACATTAGTTTTTTGTGAATATTCCGCCTGGTCTGCGGAATTCTAGACACACACACACACACACACATATATATATATATATATTTTATATATATATATATATATATTTTAATATATATATATATATATATATATTATATTATAATATTATTTAACAAGTCGGCCGTCTCCCACCGAGGCAGGGTGACCCAAAAAAGAAAATCCCCAAAATGAAAATACTTTCATCATCATTCAACACTTTCCCCTCACTCACACATAATCGTGTTTTTGCAGAGGTGCTCAGAATACAACAGTTTAGAAGCATGTACGTATAAAGATACACAACATATCCCTCCAAACTGCCAATATCCCAAACCCCTCCTTTAGAGTGCAGACATTGTACTTCCCATTTCCAGGACTCAAGTCCGGCTATATAAAAATAACCGGTTTCCCTGAATCCCTTCACTAAATATTACCCTGCTCACACTCCAACAGATCGTCAGGTCCCAAATACCATTCGTCTCCATTCACTTTTCTAACAGGCTCACACACGTTTGCTGGAAGTTCAAGCCCCTCGCCCACAAAACCTCCTTTACCCTCTCCCTCCAACCTTTTCGAGGACGACCCCTATGCCGCCTTCCTTCCCCTACAGAATTATACGCTCTCCATGTCATTCTACTTTGATCCATTCTCTCTAAATGACCAATCCACCTCAACAACCCCTCTTCAGCCCTCTGATTAATGCTTTTAACTCCACACCCTCTACTAATTTCCACACTCCGAATTTTCTGCATAATATTTACACCACACATTGCCCTTAAACAGGACATCTCCACTGCTTCCAACCGCCTCCTCGCTGCAGCATTCACAACCCAAGCTTCACACCCATATAAGAGTGTTGGTACTACTATACTTTCATATATTATCTTCTTTGCCTCCATAGATAACGTTTTTTGCCTCCACATATACCTCAAGGCACCACTCACCTTTTTTCCTTCATCAATCCTATGATTAACCTCATCCTTCATAAATCCATCCGCCGACACGTCAACTCCCAAGTGTCTGAAAACATTCACTTCTTCCATACTCCTTCTCCCCAATTTGATATCCAATTTTTCTTTATCTAAATCATTTGATACCCTCATCACCTTACTCTTTTCTATGTTCACTTTCAACTTTCTACCTTTACACACATTCTCAAACTCATCCACTAACCTTTGCAATTTTTCTTTAGAATCTCCCATAAGCACAGTATCTTCAGCAAAAAGCAACGGTGTCAATTCCCATTTTGTATTTGTTTCCCCCTAATTTAATCCCCCCCCTCCCCCGAAACCCTGGCATTTACTTCTTTACAACCCCATCTAATATTATTATATATCATATATTTAAATATAAAATATATATATAAATATATATATATATATATATATATATATATATTATATATTTTATTTATTTATATTCTATCAATTTTGTGTGTATTAGACAAGGATAATTTGTTAGGGCAGGTAGTTGCCTTTGAGATACGTGTTATCTTCCTTAAGATTATTATCTGGCCTAACACTATTGTTATCTTGCATAGCGTTATTGTCCTTTACTAAATATTGGTTTAAGTGGAGTCAAGTGTGAACCTTCACTAAATTTTAGTCTGTTGTGATGTATATTACAGTCCAGACTTGAGAGTCAATATTACTTCTTGCGTACGAATGGTACATAATACCGACAAGATGAGAGTAAGACACATGTGCAACATCTGGGTATCTTTATTGTAGACGTTTCGCCATCCAGTGGCTTTATCAATACAAATTCCAGGACATAACTTGAAGACAGTAGAACTATGTACAGAAGATGAGGTAATCAGTCCCTCAACCTAGGAGTAGGTGCGAACAGCACCATAGTCGTGGAGATTCAGAATCTCCACGACTATGGTGCTGTTCGCACCTACTCCTAGGTTGAGGGACTGATTACCTCATCTTCTGTACATAGTTCTACTGTCTTCAAGTTATGTCCTGGAATTTGTATTGATAAAGCCACTGGATGGCGAAACGTCTACAATAAAGATACCCAGATGTTGCACATGTGTCTTACTCTCATTACTTCTTGCATTAGTTATATGCAACACATGTTTTGTGGGTTTTTGTTTTATGTGCTTAAGAGTGACTTAGTGGAGGCTTCCAGACACAGTTATTTATTCATGACAACACATGATGGTTCAGGTATTGTTGTGTGTTACTCAGAGTTATCGTTAGTATTTATTTGTTCTCCAGATAACAAAAGGGTTACCATTTTTTATACCTTGTTGATGTGTCTTATCCTTGTGGGTATTTATAATTCGTATTTTAAAATTATCCAACTCACATTGTGAGTTGGTTAATTTTACGTTTAGTAATCATCCTGTATTACTATTAATATAAGTAGGCGCTAAACCCCTAAGGGTCATACGGCGTTAGTGATTATCAATGCTAATTAAGTGCATCTACTTTCTTAAATATCCTGAGTTTCTTCCTTCTCAAAGTAGTTGGGTCAGAAAGCACACTTAATTCTCTATTGTTTCCTCGGTTATAATGTCAATTATCAGTTGTATGTTGTAATAGTGTTTGTGCTAATGATAACTAACATTTTAGTTATGCTTTGTGCTTACTGTTAACTTTTCTCTGCTGTTCTTCTTTCCCTACTCTGCTTCAGAACTCACTCTCTCTCTCTCTCTCTCTCTCTCTCTCTCTCTCTCTCTCTCTCTCTCTCTCTCTCTCTCTCTCTCTCTCTCTTACAGCATGATTCTTGTTTATGGCTGACCTGTGGGTAAGTATCCTTGGATAAAGAGGCTTCTCTTCCCCCTTTCCTACGGCGTTTGACTTACCTGGAATATACCTCTAGAAGGTTTCGAGGATCAACGCCCCCGTGGCTCGGTTCATGACCAGGCCTTGCTGTGGATCAGGGCCTGATCAACCAGGCTGTTACTGCTGGCCGCACGCAAATCGACGTACCAACCACAGCCCGTGGGCGAGTGAGATATTAGTGTGTAATGAAAGTCTGGCATGTGCTGCCACCATCGGCGAAGTTGACAAGCATAAAGGAACACATTACCGTAAGTACTGCAAATAGCGGCTACCTACTAGCAGTTAAAAGAGAAAGAAAAGGCATTTGAAAGGGCTAGAGCACTGACGTAGGCAATCTCACATAACTAATAGCCAATGTTACCTGGAGAGAGTTTACCTGGAGAGAGTTCCGGAGGTCAACGCCCCCGCGGCCCGGTCTGTAACCAGGCCTCCTACACTAAACATTCTAGACGCACAAGGCACCATGAGCCTCTCCTCAGGATCCAGTTGAGAAATAATTCACACATCTATGTGTTAGTGGAAAAGAATAATGTGATGAATGTTTTGCTTAATACAACTTATTGAGACATCAGGCTGTTCTGCCCTCCACCAGCATCATAATGTCTGGAGTGTGAATGTTTTAGAAATAAGTTGATAAATGAGACGCTTGTGTAACATTTGGGTATTTTAATTCTTGAATGTTTCAACGTTCAGTGGCTTCTTCAGTCCAATGCACAGAAAGGTGGGAGTTTGAGGTGATCAGTCCCTCAGCCTGGAGTCGATGTGTTCAGACCATCAGTCTTGATGAAACTGCTGCAAATTCGCTGCAATTTGTATACTGGAGTCCACTGAACACATCGACTCCAGGCTGAGGGACTGATTACCTCACACTCCTCTTCCACCTTTCTCTGTATTGGACTGAAGAAGCCACAGGCTGGCGGAACGTTTCTAGGATAAAGATACCTAGATTTTACACAAGTGTCTCGCATTTTTCCAGCGTATCCCACTACATAACTCAAATTACAAAGACCTAAGGGCAGGACCCAAACAATGGGTCCAGTCCTGACAATAAACAAGAAATGTGTTCTCTAATTAATGGTTATTTCTTCTCAGTCTTTACACAAAACGATATAAATAAGTGCCCGGGCCCCGACGAATTATTATCAAGGGTACTTAGAGTGAAAGTTGGAACTTAGCCGCTAATGAGCGTGTTTATTATGGGCATCCAAACTGGTGTTATGCCAGAGATGTGGAAGACTGCTAATGTAATTTCTCTATTTAAATCAGGGGATAAGTCCACTCCATCAAATTATCGCCCAATAAGCCTGACATCTATAGTAGATAAATGTTGCAGTTTAAAAACTGTAGTGTAAAGCACCCTTCTGGCAAGACAGTGATGGAGGGAATGATGGTGAAAGTTTTTCTTTTTCGGGCCACCCTGCCTTGGTGGTCACCCTGCCTTGGTGGGCCACCCTGCCTTGGTGGGCCACCCTGCCTTGGTGGGCCACCCTGCCTTGGTGGGAATCGGCCAGTGTGATAATAATAAAAAAAATAATTATATCATATTATTAGAAGCCACTTTAAGCATAAATGTAATTTGATTAACGAGTCTCAGCATTGATTCACGACAGGTCGTTCCTGCCTGGCAAATTTACTAACGTTCATCAATAAAGTATTTGAGGCAGACAACGATAAAAAATTTGATGATCATTTGGGTTTTAGTAAAGCCTTCGATAGAGTACCTCAC